TAAGCCAGACACAAAAGGATAAATCCTGTATGATTTCACTTCTATGAAGGCCCCAGAGCGGTTGAACTCACAGAGACAGAAAGAATGGCAGTTGCCACGGGTCTTGAGGAAAGGAGAATGGGGAGTTGGTGTTAAATAGGGACAGACTTTCCATTTTGCAAGATGAAAAGAGTTCTGGAGCCGGATGGTAGTGATGATGGTATAGCATTGTGAATGGACTTAATTCACAGAGGAGAATCATAACTTCAAACTGGTGAGTTTTGTAGTATGTGTATCTTACCACAATTAAAAATAAGTTTTTTTAAATGGTAATTTTATCATAATTTTCTTCAAAAAGAAGTGACCACATAGGATCTGGAGGGTTCAACAAGAGTCCAGTAGGAATTTAATTGGGCTTTTGGCTGATTTTCAGGGAAACCTGGGAAGAGATGGTGAGTTTCAGGATCTGGCCAGAATCCCTCAGATCATGGAGTGGGGCAGAGCAGCCCTTAGAGAGTGGGTCAGCACGGCAGCACTTGATGCATCTGAGAAGCTCGTGAAAACTCAGTGCAGCTCATTTAACCATACTATTTCTTCACCCATATTATTTTAGCTGCAGGATGGAATGTGCTGGATGATTTACCAATGATAAATGGTATGATATGGGCTTCGAGATTTGTATTCCTTCAGTTTGAAATTCCCGGGTGCATGTTTTCCTGAAAGTGAGTTTAAAGGAATGAGTTTGGAGTCAGCAATAAGAGGGGCTATTGGACTGGTGTTCCTCTTTAAAAATGTCTCTTGCGTGCCTCAAATGTATATTAGCACAAATACAAATTATACCTTCAGAGGGATAAGGCCATGGAAGGCTGGGTATGTCGGCTGAAACAGGGCCTCTGGGAGGTTGTTGTTTTCCTAAACGATCTTTTGATGAGTGTCTATAACTCAAGGAATTAACCCCTATTATAGATCAGTCTGACACTGAAACCCATAAATGCATCAATGCACACAGTTATAATTTAATAAAAATAAATAAATAAATAAAATATAGATCAGTCTGCTACTCATTTGAGAAATCTGCCTGGCATTAGGCAAGACAATTCATAAATTCATAGGGCAGGCCAATATAGAAAAGATAAGCCAGGGACTTGCTGGTCCAAGTCTGAATTGCAACGTCAGCTCTACCTTGTTCCATGGAGAAATGGAATCTTCATTTGACCAACCAAGGTCCTCAAGGGATTTGAGCAGCACCCCCACCCCCCAAAGTCTGAGAAGCCATGCTGTGGGACATCAACCAGGAGGGCAGTATTGGCACATCTCTCTTGGGCTGCCTGTTCTCTGCTTAGACTCTCTGCCTGTCTAGAGAGCCCAGGTCCCCCCTCCAAGAACAGCCCTGGCAGTGCTAGAGGTCTCTCCCTTGTGAGGGCCAGAGAGCCCCAGGTGCACATCAGAGGAGCTCCACCTGCACAGCTTGGGGCCGAATCCCCTTCTTGCAGCCTGTGTGACGGGGGATGGGCTGCTCACCCTCTCTGTGCCTCTGTTTCCTCACCATGAAAGGATTGCCTCATGGGATGGTTGTGAGGATGAAGTAAGTTAATCCATTTAAAGCAGACAGAACAGTTTGAGGAGCTTGGGGACTGTCAGCTAGTATTACCGTGCTGTGCAGATGCCCGTCTCACACACAGCCCTTCATCTGTCCCCAGAGCCTCAGAGAATAAGCTCAGCTTGTCCCCCAGCTGACAGCCCTGCACACGTGTGAAGGCAGCTCTCCTGCTCGCCCCCTCTGTGTTCTGTCCTGTCTCTTCCCTTCCAGTGTGACAGCCCTTTGATTTCCACTGCACACCTCCAGGAGGGCTCCAGGGAGCCCCAACCCCACCAGAATCACAGTATGCTTGTAATAGCGCCACTTCCCCTCAGGGCTACACTTTGCTTCTCCACAGCCTGGGTTCTTTTCTTTCTTTCTTTCTTTCTTTTTTTTTTTTTTGGTTTAACCTAGTTTCTCTCAGATCAGACAAGGGAGCTTGTGGGCATTCCTGCCCTTTCCAAGGGAACACAGGGCCTGGGGCCTGCCCAAGGCCTTTCTGAGCCTGCTTGGTCAGTCCCCTGCTCTCTAGGCTGAGGTAGCCTCTGCACCAGGGCCACACCTGCTAGTGAGGAGCCCAGGGTCCCTACTGCAGACCACAGGCCTGGCCAAGTGGCCCTTCTGCAGCCCACACTGGAACTCCTTCCCTGCCGAGTGGATCTGGGACTGGGAGGGACACCAGGCTTCCCTGGGTGGCCCCTCATGACAGAGATCTGGACTCCAAACCATGGCTCTGGGCAGTCTGCATGTTCGTGAGCACGTCCCTTGGTTCTGATGCAGGGGTCCTTGGGGACACTGACTGCCAGAGCAGAGATCATTCTCCCCGGCCCCCTCCTATGTCCCAGGTATACACGGGTCCAGTGTCTCTCTGTCCCCCAGCACATTCTAGGTCTCCCCACCCCTTCTTTATTCATACAGCCTCCCCATAACCAAGCCACATGTCCCCCTACATCCATCAGATGCTCCCATCTGTCAAAATCAACTCAGACTTCACCTCCCTGAGACCTTCTTTGCCCCTCTGCCCTCCTGGTTTTCCCAGAGGTTTTCCCCGCCTGTCCCTGGCTACTACTTATTATGTCTGGGTGGGGCAGCAGCAGTGTGCAGGGTGAACATGGTGGGCTCTGGAGCCAGACACCCCCACCACTTCCCAGCTGTAGGGCTGGGCAAGTCGGTTATGACTCTGTGAAGAGCCTGCGTTCAATCCAGGTGACATGCTGCCGCAGTGCCACACAGGGTAAGTCCCACATGAGTGTGGCCTGTGATAACTTCATTTCTTCACATCCACATTTCATCTGTCTTTCCCCATGAGATGCTCTTTGGTGACAGGGATGATCCTAACCATCTTTGTATCTGCCTCACGGGGCCAGCACCCGGTGGGCTCCCAGGACACATTCCAGAAACTTCTGGTCAGGAAGGTGGTGCTGTCAGACACCTCCACCATCGTGGCCTGGAAACAGGGGTGGCTCTGAGCATTAATTCAATGTGAGGGGAAAACAGCCCTGCCCGTCCTATTCCCACCTACCCACACCCACTCAGCGCGGCAGGTGACTGGGGTTTTTATCTTGGAGAAAGTTGTCCCATTTAGAATCACCATACGTGTGAGGGATGAGTAGGCACATTGTCATCAAAGGGTGAAATAGAAGGTTTGTTGGGTCATGACTTCTACCCCAACCTTCCAACTCCAGACACAAGATATCAGGCCCAGCGCAGTGGAGGCCCAGACAGGTCAGGCAGAGGAGACTTGGCTCCAGAGCAGAACTGGTGGCCCCCAGCACTGGCTCCCACGGCAGTGACCAGTGCCTACCCCGCTTCTGGAGTGAGTTTGATCCAGGCTATTCCAAATTTCCTGGCAGTCAGCTGGGACTGCTCCCTCTGCAAAGAGAATGCTTCAAGCTTTAATTATACCTTCTCTCCAGATCTGCTGGGGACTCCTAATTATGCTCTTGATGGGGAAGCTGCTGCTAGATTATTTCCCAAACATCTTTGAAGCTTTTAAAGTCAAAGCTTCCCATGGGCTCTAGATGACTGAAGGGACAGCAAAATGGGCTGGCAGGACCAAAGGCTGAAGGAGGCCCCATGGTTCCCATGAAAGGGTCTAGAAAGGGAACCCCGTCCAGCTACCTCCCAGTGGGGACAGGGTGGCAGGAGGAAAGAGACAATTAGGAAGCAGCAACTCTGTCTTGTCTTCTGCGTGCTGGGTGGTGTTCAGGGAGATCAGCGGGAGTGCGGGCTTTGTGTCTTCTCGGGGTAGTGATGAGCCTGGTGCCAGGTGACCATGATACCTGCATCAGACAGCCTCCACTTGTGCACTGTGTGTGCCTGCTGTCCAACCACTCACTCCCCAGTCATCCTGGAGATGGACACATCCTGCCTGGGAAGGCCAGGGCTGACCACTGAGGACATGTCCCTCTCTACATCCAAATGGGGTATCAAATACCATCCCTGCAGTCTCCCATTGAAGCCCTTCAGTCTCACCTTAACCCCAAGACTGTTCTAGGGAATCCAAGTGGACATTTCCCAGATTTTGCCATTGGGCCGGCTTTCTGAATCTGTCTTTTCCTATATCATGTATGTCATCACGCGTGCTGTAAGGTAGGATTCCATCCCAGATCACACACCACTGAGCAGTGACCAAAATCAGCTAGGACATTCACCACCACTACTACCACCCCAAAAAGACACTGGGTAGAAAGCCCACAATCTTACAGCCAACAAGAGCTATATTGTTGTTCAAGGGTGCTTCCATAGACCATGTACCTGCACCTGAGAAGAAGGCCTCATCTGTTCTCAGCAGGGGCCCGAGGTATCTGACTTTGGAACAGGAGTAATTCTATCTTCAGCACCAAGCAAGACACCCCCACCACTTCCTAGTAGTAGGGCTGGGGCATGTCAGTTACCATTACCATATCAAATGTATCGTTATTTCTGAGATTCAGCTGCCAGACAAATAAAACTCTAGTGTCTCACTGCAACTCTAAATGGGGGTAAAGAACTTGATCAGGGCTTCCGTTCATGCATTCTTGCTAGACAAGTACAGATGTGTTATGCAGCGTTATAGCAAGTTAGGCTGGGAAATTATTCCTTCTATAATATTGCTATGCTGGATCCTTTTCTACAAAGTAGAACCCTTGGCCTCACAAAATTCCTCCACCAAGGCCTCTGAACCCCCACAAACCAGGCCCAGCCCCTCTAACCAGACCTCCATTCACTCATGTTCCTTCAAGATCAATGGAAAAGAAGCAGAATGAAAAGGCCCCTGTTACCACACTGTACCCCATGATTGCATTGTTGCACACAGCTATGATTTAATAAAAAAAAAAAAGAAAGAAAGAAAAAGCCCCTGAAAGGGGCCTGATTCGGGAAGGAGACTGGAAGTGGCATGGGAGAGGGGGAAGGCTGGTGCTGATGACTGATCGGTGGAACCAGGAATTTTGTATTGCAGGGTTATCTGTCAGAAGGGTTGGTGACAAAGTGGTACTGCTCCCCACGATTGCTTCTGTCGCCCAACAACTACACCAAAGCCATCGACATGTGGGCCGCTGGCTGCATCCTGGCTGAGATGCTCACAGGGAAAATGCTCTTTGCTGGTGAGTTGCTAACCCTGCCACCTTCCTCCTCGTCTGGTGCTCTTTCATAAGAAGGGATAGCTGAGTGCAAAACGCATGCCACTCACAAAGCATGCTGATCCTTCACTGAAGTTACATCTGTGGCTTTTATGACACAACTTGGAAGCGACTTATTGTAATTACAGGCAAAAATACTAGAGAGGCTAAAAATTGCCTTTGAGCACAGAACTTTTGAGGTCAAGTAATCACTTTGCTATGACCTGAAAGTTTGTATCTTCCTAAAACTCATATGTTTAAATCCTAATCCCCAAGGCAATAGTATTAAAAGGTGGGGCCTTCAGGAGGTGGTTAGATCATGAGGATGGAGCCCTCATGAGTGGGATTAGTGCCCTTATAAGGGAGGCCCTAGTGAGCATGTTTACTTCTTCCCTGTGTGACACACAGAAAAGGTGCCATTTGTGAGGGGTGCACCCCTCCCCACCAGACACCATCCTGCCAGTGCCTTGATCTTGGACTTCCCAGACTTCAGAATGGTGAGAAATAAATGTGTATAAGCCATCCAGTCTATGGTATTTGTTGTAACAGGCAGAATGAACCAAGACACACTTATATTCAAATTCCTTGAGACTGATGGCTGAAAACACTTACCCTATGTCTTCAGCCCCTTCTTCCTCTATTGGAGGAATAATCTTTGTTGTCTATGAAGAAGATCCCTAGATCTTCTTTCTGCCTAGAAAACTCCTACTGAGCCTTCAAAACCCAGTCTGTGTTCTGTCCTCCAGGATGTCTTCCCTAACTCCCCAGGGCCAAGTCACTCGTCCTAGTGCTCCTATTGCACTTCATATTCATTCTTGCCCCCTCTCTCCTTGCTTGGAAGTGTGCTGGCTCCCTCAACTTCCTCGGCCTCCTTCCTCACCATTGCTTCTTTGCTGTTATTTTAAAAACCCTTTTCTGTGACACATGCCAGCCAGTTGGCCCCATCACCCTTCATGCCAGCACCTACTCACTTCCATCACCCTCAGAGACTGGAGGCACTGATGTCACAGCTCCCCCTCTGTACTTGGTCCCACTACCATTCTATGTGGCTGGTGTGGCTCACTCATCTACGACCCTGGCTTCAGAGTCCCCTCCTCAATTCCTGGGACCTTCACTGCCTACTTCAGCCTGTCATTTCCATGTCTGTGCCCTGGACTTTTGTATAATTACCAGAGCTGCTCTGGGGAGGAGAGATCTGAAGTGGGCATCAGCATGGCAAATGCTGGCAGGCTGAGCATCCAGGGAACAGAACATTAAAGCTGGAAGGCCTGAGGAGTCACCCACCCTGTCCCCCCACTTGACTGATGACCATGCTGCTGGCCAGCGGGAAGACCTGTGCTCTCTGTCCATTTGCTCCTTGGAGGCATGGCCAGCCTAAAGCCTGCAGGGCCATCCTATGCTCCTGGGGCTGCCCCATCTGCTGGTGTTGGTAAAGGAGGGGGTGAGAGATGGACTAGGAGAAAGTCACCCCAGTCCCCCTTCATGGCCCAGGATCTAATAAGATTTCCCCCACTAAAGCTTCTGAGCTTTACAAGTAAGATAGCAGCAGCCCTTCTGGTGTCCCTGAGAGCAAAGGTGTGTCCTTAGGATCCATCTGGGTTCCTCCCACCCTGAAATATCAACTTTCCCTGTGTCTGCCAGCCCCAGCCTGCAAGTGTCAAGGCTGCTCATGATCCCCCCACGTGGAGCTGGCAGTTCTGTCGCTGACCTGGCTATTCTTTCTCTTTGTCTAGTGACAGTGTTAAAGCGGCTGGTGCAGTAATTACCCCGGCAGGTGCTGCAGACTGCCTGAGTCTATAGGTGGAAAGGAGCTTCCCATTCACCAGTTAAGGCCCCAGGCTCTGACAACTGTTCTGTGTGCACAGAACATGGTACCCAGTGAGCACAGTGAGCAGGGGACAGTTAAGAGGCAGTGGGAGAAAGTAAGATGAGACCCCCTCAGCCAGGGAACTTAGGATCATAGACAGAATTAGATGCCATCCCCAGAAGGGGCCCTGGACACCTCACCACTTGTTTAGCAGGTGGGTTGGGTTCAATAATGCAGAGTGGGGAAGTAAACTCAGAGAAGATGAAATGGCTAGGAGTGGCCTTGCTAAGGGCACATTGGCAGGACTTTAAGACAAAAGCCATGTCTGAGTAGCCTAGAGGGTCTTTATATTGGATGCAGGTAAGTATTAGGAGCTCTAGGAACAAATTTATCCAATGAGGAGCGATGAGAAACCCAGCAGTGAGGGCATTAATCCATGCTGTGCTAGTCTTTCTTTCCTCCATGCTGTCAACTTTCTCCAGAAGTATTTAGGAGACATACAATTTATTTTTTAATGTAATCTTAAGTAAGAAAAGAAAGAAAACAATAAGAAAGTAATAGGAAGCAGAAATTAGGGTTCATGCCCCCCACATCTAGGCCCCATATGTAAATGTCTTCCTTTGCCCACTGGACTTGGAGGAGCCCTTAGTATTTTCCTTTTGGAAGATTTTGTGGTTTGGTGGATCCTTGACCAGGTACCAGGGACATAAGACTGAGTAAGACATAGTCTTTGTTCTCGAAGATCTGATGGTCCAGTTGGAGATACAAAAGGTTAAAAACAACAACAAAAACAAAAACTAACATATGTAGTGAACCAATCTGTGCCCACGGTGAACCATTCTGCTATCTTATTTTTCCAACTGAAATTGCACAGACTTCCCAAATCCATGTTTTTAGACCAATTTAAGGCAGGAGAAGAGAGGGAGAACAGGTGTGAGGGAGGTCCTGCCCTGGATACAGACTCAAAAATCTACCCCCTCCACATGCAGCCACTAAACCCTGGATGACTCAATATCCTTGGCCCCACAGCCTCCACAATCTGGGTGAAAGGTGCCTGGTGGGCTCCAGTCTCCCAGCTGTGAACACTCAGCTTACAGGACTCTTCTGCAGCTGCCCTTCCCATGGCTGACACTGTCAGGGCAGGTGACTCACTAAGGACCCACATGGCATGATCCAAAGCGAACTGACTTCTCCCCTCTAGGCTTGCCACCCCATGATCACAGAATGATAACCACAGATCTAGCTTTCAGGTCCTCATACGAAAGCGTCCAACAGAGAAAGGGGGTGTGCATTGGCCAGGGTGGCAAGACCGCTCTTCCTGAGCTTCTCCCTTACCAGGTGGAAAGTCCTCCCCTCAAGTCCTTCCAGTGGACTTCTAACTGTGTCTGAGTGAGTCACTTGGCCTCCCCTTGTTGCAAGGGGAGTTGAGGAAGCAAACAGCTAGTACGAGATGAAAAGGACACTTTCCCAATAGAGAAGTGATATCAATGGCAGGATCCTCCTCCATCCTTAACACTTTCTCTCATTTTTCAGCAGTGTCTAAGTAGACTCAAGGCTAATAGGCATCCCCCAAGTGGCATCTGTCACCACAGATCACTCAAGGCTGATTAGGACATAAATTCCCCACATGGATTTATTTTATCAGTTTCTCTCATAAAAAGTCACTGTCCCCCAGCTCCTAGTTGCAAGGGAAGCCAAGATTCATTCAACATCTACTCAAGCCAGGTATTTTCTGAGCACTCTTCTGACACCATCAGACGTGATTGCTTACAACAGCCGTTCCAAGTGTGAATACTTCTCCTCATTCCACAAGGGATGGGGAGAGAGAACATGGGCAAGAGGTCTGCCTCCGGGGCTGTCTGCCACCAAAGCTCCTGCTTTCTGCCCCATCGCATGGAATGCCAACCCCACTGGCTTGCCTCTCATGTGACACTACTGATCCCAGGCAGGGGCAGATAAGTGAGGGAGGCTAGTTCTCTGCCAGTGCCCTCTGTGGCTGATGACACTTCTGCCAGGACAAGGCTGTGTGCTGCTGGCCTGTATGTCACAGAAAAGAGGGGACAGGGTCTCCTAAGCAAAGTCCCACCACTACCTCTCTCTTCAGCTTGATTGCCCATTAACCTCATGGTCCCTTGGTGAGTGGTCTGGACTCCTCATTTGGAGAGGGGACCCCACAAGTCCCTTCCAGAATCCCTGAACTGACCCTCTGTGAATGGACAGGCCACAGGGATCCCTTCAGGGTAGACCCTGAGGCTGCAGGCACTTGCCCAGTCAACATTCACACGTGCTTAGCGCCACACAGGGCATTGGGGGACAATGTGGGAGAGCCCCCATCCTAGGCACCACCTTCTAGCAGACTTGAATCCCACAGGAATTCATAGTAAAAGGAGATCCCTCTGTGCAGATGGGTCAGGGAGGCTTCTTGAAGGAGGAGAAGGTTGAGGACTTAGCCCAGCAGAGCTGAGTGGAAAGGCAACCCAGACAGAAAACAGAAAATGGAAGGAATGGGAGTATGAACAGCCTGCAGGTCAGAGCAGGACAGCACCGAGGCCCATCTGACCAATGCGAGCTGTGTCAGTGCTGCATGTGCAGCCAGCAATGCCAGGCGGCGGGAGACAAGCTGGGTGTCTGAGGCACAGAGAGACTGAAGTTCTTGTGGATCAGAACTTTTGTCTCACACGTCCACAGCTTCCAGCATGAGGTCCGGCATGGAGAAGGTCTCAGTAAATAATTAATTATTCTCTGAATGAATGAGTGAGTGAATGCATGAATGAATGCTTGAGTCCACCCTGTCCCCCCATGTCCCTGCAGACCAACATAGTCTGTCTTCCTTCTCCCAAGGAGCACAGAGCCTGTCTGCCCAAAACACACTCCAAACCCAATTGACTATTCCTGAATTTTCTCTTGAGAGTTTTCTGGATTGACTCTCGTAATTGGAGACTAAAGGGTAAGGCTCATTCCTAGACTTCGATCTGTCCTCCTCCCCAGCCTGGTGACAACACGCAGAGGCACATAGGAAGGAGCATCTGGAAGACTCTGGGCCAGGCAATGCCCATGCCCTTAGTGCTGGGTCTGTCAGACCAGTCTGCTCCAGAGGCACAGGGCAGTAGGGGGTGCGTGGGCCTCAGAGGAGGCCAGCTTAACCTCTTCCTTCTACATTGACAAAGCCGCCCCCGGAGATGGCAGCAGCCTGCCCACAGTCGCACAGCACGTTAGTGACTCCTCGGCGTCTGGAGCCACTTGGGCCACACGCTTAACCACCTGTGTTTGCCTCCCAGGGGCTCACGAGCTGGAGCAGATGCAGCTCATCCTGGAGACCATCCCCGTGGTCCGGGAGGAAGACAAGGACGAGCTGCTCAGAGTGATGCCCTCCTTCGTCAGCAGCACCTGGGAGGTGAAGCGGCCGCTGCGCAAGCTGCTCCCCGATGTGGACAGTGAAGGTACCTGAGCCGGACAGCTGGGCCGAGCACCCTGCCGGGCTGACCTTGGCTTCACCTGGCGGGGTAGGGGGCAGTCTCCTTCCAAAGGGCAAGCACAGCACGCAGGCTGAGAAGTAGCGGCTCTGGACACTTCCAGATGGAGGAGTGTGGCCCTTAGGCGGCCCTGGGGCGGCGGTAGTGGTCCTCCACCCCCTACCCACTGCTTCGCTTCTTTTCACTTCTCATCTTTCTCATCTGCCTTCCTCCCTCTCTTCCTTCATGCCCCTTTACTTCTTTTCCCATGGAAGCCATGGCATGGGGCAGAGAACAGGAGCTTTCTCCAGCCCAGGTTTCATTCCAAGATCCAGCCGTGACCAGCCGTGTGGCCTTAGACAAGTAATTTAACTTCTCTGAATCTCAGTTTCCTAAACTGTAAAATGAGTATAATCCTACTTACCACAGAGGGTGGTTGTGACAATAAGTAAACTAGAATTTGTAGCCTCTGGCCAGGATAGTTGCTCCCAAAATCTTACTATTATCACTGGGCCTCCCTACCAGGGGCTTCTTTTGGAAACCCCGTATTAGTTGGATATAGGTTCAGCCAATTGTAAGAGAGATCCAAATTCTCAGCAGCTTAAATAATATTTGTTTCATACTTCTTTTTAATAATAATAAAATAATATTTGTTTCTTATTTATTAAAAAGAAGTTAAGTAGTTTATTTCTCTCTCACACAGTAATCTAAAGGCAGATAGTCCAGGGTAAATATGGTGAACTTGGTCTGCAAGTTCATCTAGTGGCCCAAGCCCGTCTCATGCAGTCAACCTAGTGTGTTGCCTTTATCCCCCTGGAGGAGGATGAAGAGGGAAGGGCAGGTTCCCTTGCTCTTAAGGTCATGAGCTAGATTTGTAGACCTTACTTCCAACCATGTCCTATTGGCCAGAACTTAGTCCTATCCCCCCTGCACACTGCAGAGGAGGCTGTGAAGTGGACATTTATGCCATGCCTCTTTGCGTTCATTCTCACAGAAAAGAAGACAGACGTGGGGGTGCAAACCAGCAGTCCCTGCCGCACTCCTTCCCCATGCAGAACCCTAGAACCTGGACAAACACTGTCTTTGGCCCCATTTCCCATTCAATCAGTAAGCTGCCTCGGTTTCCCACCACTAAAGACAGGAGATAATAGTAGCTTTTGATTCATCATAAATTAAGACTTAGCCCTTACATATTTATTTTGATTCCCAAGCCTCTGTAAAAACCCCACTATGTGCCAAGGGCTGTATTCACTTCTTATAAATTCTGGGTCAGGGCTGTGGCAGCCATGCCCAGCCTCCTACTCCCACAACCATCCACTACACACACAGCAGCCCCTTGGTGACATGGATCTGGTTCTCCATGGTGGGCGTTGTCCAGAAGAAATCAGAATTAGTAGCTGATGGATGATAAAGCTCCTCGCTGTGGTCACCAGCATCAGCCAACAGTTACTAACCTGCTGTGGCTACAGATCAGTGCTAGGGATAGAAATTCACAGGGACACCGGGTGGTCTGGCTGGGAGACAGGGGATACCCACCAAGATCAGTGCACCTTAGGGAGCACATCCTAAGGGGCCGTCGAGGGCCCTGGGTATTTGGGGAAGGGAAGAGAGCCATAAGGCTCAGAGAGGGACAGAAGCTGGCCTGGAGGAGGTGGTGAGGCCCATGAGTGAGACAAGTCACGAACCTGATTGTAGGAGGTGAGGCTGGAGCGTGTCAAGTCCAGGAGGCTGGGCAGCGAATACCCAGCTGATGAGCTTGGACTTGGTCCTGTTGTGGAGCAGATGCTGGCTGGTGCCAAGCTTGCTTCTCCGTTCCAACATGCCACCAGTATTCTCTTGTCTGCCTCTGGCCTTGAAAAGTGACCCCAGTCTGCCTCTGTCCTTGGGGAAATGAGGCATCCCTGAAAAAAAATGTCAGCGAAAGAACTTCAAGTCCACCTGTCCACAGGAGCCATCAGAGGACCTCAGCCTCACTCCTTCTACTATAAGGTTGAGGCCAAGGGAAGGAGATAAAATCATACAGAAGCCTCATTATGTAAGAAATTCCTAAATAACTTCTGGGGAGGTTGAGCCCAGAGAAGAGGCATTGAGGAGGGGTGTGGAGTTAAGGTAAAGCTGGAGCTGTGTCAGATAACCCTGAATCTCTGTGGTTCAACCCATCAGCAATTTGTTCAGCATGTGGCTTCATAGTTGCACTGGGCATGCACTTCCAGACAAAGCCAGGGGAGAGAGGGGAGAGACTTGCAGGAGGTTTTTCTGGATCAGGCCTGGAAGCAGAGTACACACATCACTTCCACCCTGTCATTGGCCCCAGTTGCACAGCTGAATCCCACTGCAGGAGAGGCTGGGAGGCACAGGCCAGCATTGTGTCAGTCTAGGGGTGGGGGTGCGTGGGACATGCCTGTTACCTGGAACCAGAGAGTGGTAGTTGTGAGGCAGAGAGGACATGTGATGGGGGCCCACTGAGGGCAAAGTTAGGCCCAGAGGTGGAAGTTGGGAGAAGATTAGGTTTGATAGAAGGAAGACTCTTCTAGTATTTTGGCTTCCCAGAAGTGTCTGGGCATCTGCGAGGGAGCAGCTGTCACGGAGCGAGAAGGGAGACGCTCATGCTTGCTAGAGTCTGTGGAGCAGCTTTGAGGTTGGTGTCTTCCAACTCCAGGGTCTGCTGGTCTTTTAAAGGATAATGACAGTGATGCTGCTGCCTGCCAATGTTTAGACCTTTAATTCCCTTGTCTTTTGTCCGGAGGCTGAGTAGTGAATGGGTGCGACTGGAAGCCCAAAGAGAGAAAGATTTGCCCTGGCCTAGAGCTGGGCCCTGCACTGAAATACCCAATTCTTGCAGTTCTGGGAATTTGTGGGGTGATCCTCATTTAGGTTTTCAACCCCAAATCCAGAAACACCTCCAAGCATCAGAGTGTCTGGGGTGATCAGAGTTACTGCTGCTTAATAATCTGTCCGTTTAGGGTTACACAGCAGCACCACATCCTCCTAGGAGGCCAGTGACCTTCTGAATTCATTGATTTCCTGAATCACTAATAAATTTTCCTAAAAGAGCTCCAGGGCCACTATGAAAGGCAAGTTAATGGTGTAGGATAACACATACCAAGAACCCTTCACAGGGGTCCAGCTCTACTTCTCCCACTCCACATGGGCTACAATGTGAGCGGCCAAGTCATGATTGAAGTGGAGACTCTGGTGCCTGAAGTAACACAACGTCTAGGCTAGACCTTACACTGAGATAACCCAGGGCAAATATCCCAAGACAGATTGGTCCCTTCCCCCTGCTCAGGGGAAAGGACACCAGTAGCTTTGAGGTTGGTGTCTTCCAACTCCAGGGTCTGCTGGTCTTGACCCTGTGCAGAGCTGATATTCAGCCAGCACCTACCTACCAGCTTCTAAATCTTGATATCCTCTCAGGCTGGTTGGCAAACCACCCCTGCAGGAGCCCTTTGAGTTTCTTTCCCTTCCCCAGGTCCCCACTGCTGAGAACTCCCTTTGGTAGGTCCATAAAAGGGCTATAGCCTGGGACAGCTGGGAACCTCGGCCTAATTGTTCAATATTGTGACTATCTATCTATCAAATCCGACTGGCTTTGTCAAAGCTCCCAGGGGCAGCCCATGGTAGACAGCCTTCTGGACTCAGACCAGGAGCTCTGGGCTGTGGAAGTCCTGTCCTACTTCTCTTCCATGTCACCTTTCTAACTTCTGATACCTGGGACGCCAGTCTGAGGGCTCAGAAGCAGGGCCCTCTGCCCCACCCCACAAGTGGAACCACCTTTGTGGAACTGAGCCCCAGGAGCCCACAGGAACCGCCTGCTCACTAGCACGCCTTGTATTGGTTCCCCCCAACCCTCTACCTGTGTTTCCTGGGGTCCCCTGCCACATAAGCCAGCTGGACCTACTGTAACCCACAGTGGCCTTCAGCAGGTCACTCCACCCCTCGGGTCTCTATTGGATTCAAAGGCAGCATGGGTTCTGCCTGCATCTCTGGGCTGAGGTGACCATCTTGGGAAATAAAATGGCTACAAACCTTTGTACAAAGGAAGAGTACAAACCCCAGGGAACGTCTGCTCACAGAGGGGCACCCTTCTTAGCATGGCGGAGGTAACAGATGACCTTCCTGTCCCATTTTGCCCCCCACAGCCATCGACTTTCTGGAGAAGATCCTGACCTTTAACCCCATGGATCGCCTGACAGCTGAGATGGGGCTGCAGCACCCCTACATGAGCCCATACGCGTGCCCCGAGGACGAGCCCACCTCGCAGCACCCCTTCCGCATCGAGGACGAGATTGACGACATTGTGCTGATGGCCGCCAACCAGAGCCAGCTTTCCAACTGGGACAGGTACAGGGAGGCCACATTCCTCTGTCCTTCCATTTCTGTTTCACCTCTGATCCTCCATGGCCTTTCCCTCTGTCCCCCAAGTTGTATAGAAAATTGGGCGCTTTCCCCAGATTAGCTTCCTGCCTGCCTCCTGTCCCTGGACTCTCTCAGTAAATGACCCCCTGTGGGCCATATGTGTGGCTCAGGGCCTTCCTTTGAGCAGCAAGCACCCTTAGCCTGTGTCCCTCACCAGCTGAGTCTGCTGCACACAGGTCAGTGCAACGCTGGGCAAGGACTCAGGAAGTCAGTACCTACGGCAGGAGCTCACTTCTGCGATAATGCTAGGCAGGAAAATAAAGGGGAATCTGCCATCACAAAACATGTTCTCATGTTTCACATCATTTGCACCACCTGAGAATGCCCTGGGAGCTCCAGTTACTGCCTGTTGACATGTGGAGAAGCAGCTCTGAGGTTAAGAGGCAGCCATCATGTCACACAGCTAATATCTGGCCTGCGTGGGGCCCCTCCCCAACTGTGTCCACGGCAGGTACTGCTAAGCCATTTTAGGACTATTTCCCATTAAACAGGGGTTGGCTTCAGAATCTTCCACAAGTGTCTCTGGAAGCCACAACCAATGAATCAGTGTTGGGTAGAAGATACATTTTTGAACAATTTCTGCCTACCACACAATGATCTCTTAGATGGTTTCCTGTTCTGACATTCTTAGATCAGGCAGCAAAATGTTTGGGCATTGCCATCTGCTAATTCTGGGTGGGAGTCTAGAAATAGCAGTCAAAGGCTCAGCAGCAGCGAGGACTCCGAGGGAACCTAACTGGGAGTCCCACTGCTGTGGGAATGTGACAGCTAGTTATGTAAGTGACAGATGAGCAATTTCTCCTTTTCAGTCATTTGACAGATGACAGGTTCCAGATTAAGGAGGCATCCAGGGAGGGCCAGGGCAACGTTGCTATTTTTGGACAGGTTTGCTCATTTGTTGTTGTCAATTGTTTTCAAGTATTGCCAGCAAATAGAGATTAATGAAGCCTCTCTCTTCTGCCACCTCCGTGCGTGGCCTGCCCTTGATTACAGCTACTCCCCTTCCTCCACAGAATGTGGAGCATTGGTTCAGCAAGGTTCATCCTACACTATCATGGCTGTGGGCTAGGGCAGGTGCCAGGAAACTGTAGCAGGGTTTCTTTGGTTGCTGCCTGTCAGCTCCAACCACCCCTCAACCTGGTGCACCTGTGCTAGGACCTTTCCCATCCACCTGAGCGAGGAGGGACTATGACAAAGGCTTTGCTGCTGTGGGAGACTACTTAACCTCTTCAGATGCTGATTTTCTCATCTGTGTCTCAGAGGTGATCACACGAAGGCTGCAGGGTTGCTAGGAAGACTACAGTAACGTGTGACTCTTAGAGCAGAGCGGTGAAGGGTTAGGGTCTTCACAAGCTCTTGTTCCTAGAAATCACTGTAATTTCAAGGCCGTTCAAGTAAGGAGCAGTGTTCAGCTCTAGGATTGACTCTGCCCCTAATGGTACCACTGGGAGGTGGACAGTACTGAGGTCTTCCCTTGCCTCTCAAACCATGTGCTGTGGACTGCAGCTGCCCCGTCTGCCCCACATGACCATACCTGGCTGTCCTTGGTTTGTCTGATGGTCCCACGTGAGCTCCAGGCTTCTTGTTCTGGGAGCAGCTGGCTGTGGGCTGAGGACTCCTCTGGGCTCCCTGCCGGGCCCCTGCATTGGGGCTGCAAGGAGCACCTGGCCGGGCAGGTGCCAAGTCCATCTGTTCTTCTTTTGCTCTTGACCAGCTGACTTCAGCAACACAGGGCAGAATTGCAGGATCCTCAGCTTCTCCTGAAGGTGTCTGCTATTTTCTGTAGGCCCCATCTGCTCCATATCAGTGCAGGGTGCTGCAGGGCACCCAGCCATGTCCCCTAGGGCCAGGGTTCTCAGCTCCCCTGAAGCCTTAGAATCAACTTGGGGGGTTGTAAACACGCGGATGCCAGGTGCCACCCTACACCTACTGAATTAGAATGGGGGGGGGGGAGCCAGGCAGACATGACACTTTATTTTAATTCCCCTTTGTGAGTCTAATCTGAGCCTGGGTGAGAAAAACTTGTGCAGAATTTGCTATCCAAGATGTGGTCCCAGGACCTGCAACATCACCATTAACCAGGAACTTCTTAGAAACGCAGAATTTCAGGCCCCACCCCAGGTATTCCAACTTAAAATCTTCTCTTGAACAAGATCCCCAGGAGATTTGTTGTACAACAAAGTCTGAGAAGCATTCCATAGGTGAGTCCGCTAGGAAGTTCCATGAGAACGGAGACTTTTTTCGTTCATTTCATTGCTGTGTTCAGGGTGTCTAGAGCAGAGAGTGCCTGGCACATCGTGGGCACTCAAGAGCTATGCGTAGGGCTTGCGGTGTGTGCAAAGGAGGAGGGAAAGCCTTAAGGGAACGCCCCAGTTGGTCCCGCCCCAGCCAAGCCCTCAGTCCTCCCCATTACCCGTCCCACCACACCCCGCTAGGGGTGGAGGTCAGGGGCTGGAAGGAGGGGAGGCCTGTGAGCTGCAGACGGGTCGGGAGGCTTGGCTCCTTGCCCGAAACCAACCCCCCAAGGATCTAATCGCGCTTGTTTGTACCCTTGCAGGTACCCGGTGAGCCTGTCATCGGACCTGGAGTGGCGGCCCGACCGGTGCCAGGACGCGAGCGAGGTGCAGCTCGACCCACGCGCGGGCTCTGCGCCGCTGTCCGAGGACGTGCAAGTGGATCCGCGCAAGGACTCGCAGAGCAGCTCCGGCCGCTTCCTGGAGCAGTCGCACTCGTCCATGGAGCGCGCCTTCGAGGCCGACTACGGGCGCTCCTGCGACTACAAGGTGGGCTCGCCGTCCTACCTGGACAAGCTGCTGTGGCGCGACAACAAGCCGCATCACTACTCCGAGCCCAAGCTCATCCTGGACCTGTCGCACTGGAAGCAGGCGGCCGGCGCCCCCCCCACGGCCGCGGTGGCGGCGGACGCGGTGGCCCGCGAGGACGAGCCAGCCAGCCTCTTCCTGGAGATCGCTCAGTGGGTCAAGAGCACGCAAGGCGGCCCCGAGCTCGCCAGCCCGCCGCGCGACGGGTCCGAGCACCTGTCTGCCTCTCCCCCCGGCTGCCCGGCACCAGTCGACGGGGGCGCTAGCCCCCAGTTCGACCTGGATGTGTTCATCTCCCGCGCCCTAAAGCTCTGCACCAAGCCAGAGGACCTGCCAGACAATAAACGCGGCGACCTCAATGGCGCGTGCATCTCTGAGCACCCTGGCGACCTCGTGCAGACAGAGGCCTTTTCCAAAGAAAGGTGGTGAGGGCGGAGGGGGTGCTCCAGGCCCCCGCTCATGGCAGGAGGCCACCCTAGCAAAACCGGGCCTGGTCTGAGGAGGCCGCTACCCTGGCACCTCCACCACCCTATCCACCCCTCTCTGCTGCCTTGGGGTTAGCAGAACACAGGAAGGATCCGAGGAGCGAGAGGAATGTCCATTTCTTAAACTGCCTTAATAAGTAGCCTTTAACCTCTGGGAGCAGGTTTGAACAGGAGCTTGACGTGGGGGTTGATCACTTTCCCAGCAAAGGGGAGGCCTAGTCGTGTGCAGGGAAGCAACACCTTTGGACAGCAGCCTGACCAGCGCAGAGGAATCTTGCAGACATAGTTCTGCAGCTGTCAGGCCCAACTAACCTCAACTGGCAGCTGAGGAGGGAAAATGAGGTCCAGAGAAGTAGAGCAATTTGCCTAAGATCACAGGCCTCCTTAGTGTCCAGGCAGCCTTGAATCCTGTGTCTGGGCCCCAGGCCAGCATCTGCCCACTATACAATGTCTTCCTCTGCTGGGGTCATTCTGGCTTTTTGATCAAAAACTTTGGTCCGAGATGTTTCTTCCCTGCGGTTACCATCTGACCCACCGATGCTCTTCCATTCAGAGCAATGTTTCTTGTATTCTGAAATTAGAAACTTAACCAGTTTCTTTCTCCTAGTCATCAAGCATATTTTTCTGGCTCCCCAAGTACTTCAGTGTTCTCATCTGCCACACGCCTGCATGGTCCGAAATCTTTGTTTCTGGCCAGAGTGGTTTGGGGTCCACGAAAAAAACAGTGCTTCTCCCAGGCCTGTGTGCATACCTCCTCCAGCCCTCCCTATGCACTTTCCTGACTCGCAAAGACACAGCCCTCGTTCCTCAGTGGAGGTCCTACATGGGCGAGGTTGAATACAGCAATTCCAAGATCCCCTCCAAATTCCCCCTCCTAATCACCCACCCACCCCCACATAGCTCCTCCCCAAGCCTACCTCGGGACCTGATGTTCTCCGCATGAATTGCTCACTTGGAGGACAGCCTTTGCAAGGCGCCTCTCTAGAGCAAATGTGTTAGGAGAGAAGGTTTCACATGGGACCCACCATCCTTCATTAATACTGCACTTGAGTTTGATCATCCATATAGCCTTGGCAAAGAGCAGACCCTGAAGAAATGCAATGGAGAGCAAGTGACCTTAGGGACAAGGAATCCGGAGAGGTAGGGAGGTGTAAAAGGAGGGGTGTTAACATCGAGGGCTCACAGGGGCCAGGCACCAGCAAGGGGACCTCACAGCAAGGAAGGGGACTCACAGCAGCCATCCCCCTCATAGTATAGGCCAAGATGAGTTTGGCGCACACAGACACAGAGGTGCACTCACACCAAGGAATTGGTGTGTAGACACAGCAGGCCTTCTGCCGAAGCATGGGGTGGGGACACTGGCAGCCCTTGATCTGGTCCCCTTATGCTCTGGTGTTCATTTCTACCACTGGTGTTCAGCTCCTCCCCTCCCTAACATTCCCAAAGATACTCACAGGAAGTCCAGCCAGTCTAGGAAAAGGAGTACCTCGGTGCTGGTGTAGGGCTCGGTTCATCCCCATAACACTGCACCTTAAACCTAATCAGCAAACTATAGTTTATACATTGAAACTTGCAACATGTTAGAAACCTATATTTAAAAACAGAATTAATCACACTGACCAATTTTTAAATGGCAGATATGTAAATAGGAAGTGTTTAGGTTTTGGCTTTGGTTTTGTTTTGTAAAAGAAATGTACTCCACTCCTCATGTGCCATTTCGTCCTTAGAGGGCAGCTTTACTTTTTTGGTAAAGGAACAAGCTGCTGACCTCGACCAGGAGTTCATATATAACTGTTATTACAGAGGAATTGTTATAACTACTCATGTTTTTAAAAAAAATCTATTAAACATTGTTAAAGTTGATCAGGACAGGCCAAATAAAGTTTTATTGGAACATAGATTCATTTATGTATTATCTCATTCATTTATGTATTATCTGATGCTGTCTTTGCCAGTGGTTGATTCGTCAAAGCCAAGTTGGTTTCTCCTGCAATCCTGAAGGTCAGTAAGTTTTTGGGGGGAGAGGGAGAAATCTATAGAGATTGACAATCAGGAAATGACTCCAGAATCATCTGGTGAGGCCTTGCATCCATCCATACTGTGGATTTCTGACCAGAGCTGGTCTTTCCTTCTGGTCACAAAAGATGCCAACATCATAAGATTGGGGGAAACCAACCACCTAAAAACACCCACATGGGCAACACCTCACAAATGCCTGAAATTTCATCCATCATGGAGCTGACCCCTTTGTATTGCCTGTATCAAAGTGCTCCCACTAACTTTATTCCTTGCAAATGTAGTCAACTCTTGATCAACATGGGCCAAGAGGCCTTGTTAAGCTAATTATCAGATTCTCTGCAAAATGTCAGCTGACCAGAACTATTTCCTTGTTGAGTGGATGCAAGTGAAGGGAGGCCCGGAGCCAGGGCAGAGACCTGCTTGAAATATTATATTGGAAAAGGCTCAAGGCCCAGTGTGAGGCCTGGGCTGCTAGAGTGCAGGAAATGGAGCCTGGGGCAGTAGTAAGAAGCCCAGACAACAAATAACACCAAAAAGGAAGGAGGACTGAAGGCTCCCTGAAGGAAATGTTTCATAGCCATGCCTAGCCCCCTCTGTTGTAAGAGCATCTAGGGATATTCTATGTATGACCCAGGCATCAGCAAAGTATGGCCTCCGAGCCACCTGGTTTCATGGGAACATAGCAATGCTCTTCATTTTCCTATCATCTGGTCCTACCTTTATTTAAAATTGTGATATTTTGTTTATCATGGATTTTTTGCAACGATTTAAAAAGATTTAAAATATTGAAATGAAACACTTATCTTGGTTACTGAGATTTTTGGCACCCTTAAATTCTATGCCCAAGGTCAAGGCCTCACTGACTCCATCCTGGTCTATGGCTGCTTCCCTCCTATAGCGGTAGAGTTGGGTTGTTGCAACAGCGACCGTATGGCCCACGAAACCTGAGATATTTATTATCTGGCCCTTTACAGAAAAAGTGTGCTGACCCCTGCTGTAAGATGCCCTGTGGTCTTCACATCTTTGTGAATAAGTACATGGCTTGTCTTGTCTTTTCTAGCCATTGACATTCCAATTCAGAAATGACATGTTTTTCACATGTGGTTTCTTATTAGACATCTCTTACTATGCTTGGGGAAATGGCTTTATTTGCCACTGAGAGATTACCCTGAGAGTGTGGGGACCCTCCTATTTGGCTGAAGGGACATTGTGCCATTTTAACTAAAACCAGGCTTTTAGCTAGATTGTTAGAACAGGGAAACAAGAAGCCCAACTTGAAACCAGTAGTTCTCAGTTAAACTAACGAGCTCAACACAGAGAGGGGAAATGTCTGCTGTCCCTAGCTACATGGTTGTGAGTCAAATTGTAGCAAGGGATGTCAAACAGCACCTTCTCTCACTGAGACTAAATGACTAAGAGAAACTTAGCCTAGGTAATACCTACCCGTGTTGTAGTCCTGGCTTCGTTCATTATTCTTTGAATATAAATAGATGAAAACTTACAGATCATCTAATCCAACCCCTCATTTTGCAGATGAGTAGACTGAAACCCAGAGCAGGATAGTAATTTGTCCAAAGCACTCACACTGTGAGTGGCAGAACTAGAAATAGAATCCACATAATCTTTCCAGGATCAAACTCATCTTATTCAGTCTAACCGAGGTACAGATGCTGGGACTGAGACTCAGAGGAGTGAGACTGGCGCTGAGAGTGAGAACAGACAGACCACAAAAACCTATGCTCTGCTCACCTCTGCCTGGGTGATGGAGCTCCACTGACCTTGGAAATGGCCTTCTGTCCCTCCAGACGGCTCCCACCTAACTTGGGGACCTGATCTGAGTAGCAAGGAAAGCAAAACAAGAGAACAGGACACCAGCTTAGTTTTATTTCCTTGAGCAGCAGACCCTGAGAGAGGATCCAAGTGCAGAGGGGTGGGTAAGGGTGACGGCAACCGGTGCAGCAGAGAAGGAAGACTTACGGCACACCAGGTCCCACTCTGCCTCCTGGTGGGGAGCTCCCAGGGCAGAATGGAGCACGCACCTCGGAGACGTTCCGCTTAGCCAGCCTGGGTGGCAGACTGCTCCCTGGGATGCTGCCTCCCTAGCACCTCTGGCCTATCCTGCACTGCAGCAAAATGGACCCCAGTGGCTAGGAAAAAAGCTCTAGGCAAAAGGGTACAGGTGCTGGCAGGTGGGAGTTGGGTTGGTGCACACAGAAAGGTGATGGGTGGTCAAACATATATTGGTAGAGCACCAACAGCACCTATGGGTGTCAGCAATGGGAATTAATAGGAACTGGCTCCAGGACCCAGGCAGAGAACAGCTGCTCCGTGTTCGCAGCACAGGCCAGCCCAGACTTGAGTTTTTTCAACCCTCTCTGACCTGCCCTTCCTCCCTGCCAGAATAAAAACTGGCTTTCAGCAGCCACGGCTTTTCTTCTCAGCTCTCCTAGGCATCCCAAGTCCACCATCAGTGTCCTCCAGTGGTCCCACTATTTCAACTTTGGGATTAGCAATCGCAGCCCTGTTGAGAAGTGATGTGTCAAACCAGCATAGTCTTTGTATCAGAGCCTGCTAGCAGACCTATGGCTCAAACAAAAAGAGCTGTATTTTCTTGCCTGACTTTAGGACCATTTTGGTCCTTGAGATGTGAATTTTGTCCCATTAAATTACATTAAGAACCTCACTGAGAGCACTGAAAACCCTTCCAGATGTTGACACTTAAGATCTCTGATTTCAAGGTACTTAGTCTCCACCGACATCTCTCTCTTGCTCTGCACATCCTTGGCGAACCAGTGTGAACACTCTTGTGCCTCGATGCCTCTTCGCATCTGGTGGGACATATGAGGATGACAATGTGGCCAGGTTCTAAGGCCAATCTGTGATCAGGAAACGAAATTCAGCTCACCGGGGGACTGAACCTGTCTTAAGTCTCCTTGACATGATGCTCTCATCAGGTGTTAGATGATTGGCTGTTTCCACTGGAAACCAGAGACAGCCA